CCACCCTCAGTATATGGGGCCAGTGCCCTACTCACTGAGCCACAGGTGCCGCCCTACATGTTCATTTATTAATTTATTTATTATTTTGTTGAGACAGAGCCTCAAGCTGTCGCCCTGGGTAGAGTGCTGTGGCACCGCAGCTCACAGCAACCTCCAACTCCTGGGCTTAAGCAATTCTCTTGCCCCAGCCTCCCAAATAGCTGCGACTACAGGCACCTGCCACAACACCCGGCTATTTTTTGGTTGTAGTTGTCATTGTTGTTTGGCAGGCCCGGGCTGGATTCATACCTGCCAGCTCTCGTGTTTGTGGCTGGTGCCCTAGCCGCCTGAGCTACAGGCACCGAGCCTGGTTTTTCTATCTTTAATAGAGATAGGGTCTTGCTCTTGCTCAGGCTGGTCTGGAACTCCTGAGCTCAAGCAATTGGCCCATCTTGGCCCCCTAGAGTGCTGGGATTACAGGTTTGAGTCAGCACCCCTGGTCCTCCCCCAGAATACTTTATTTTTAAAGGGATTGCTAATCTGTCAATTTATAGAACATTCCTTTTAGACATTTAAACTCAATAACAATGTTATATCTCAACTCATGCTGATTAATTTACTTATTTTGTAAATCTTGGATTGTCTGGAATGAAGACTAGAATGATCAAATATCACACACCAGTAAATTCTCTATAAGTATTTGCTATACTGAGTTAATGTGCCATCATCCTGATTTTGCAAACAAGGAAACTGTAGATATAACCAGCCAACCTAATACTTGCAAAGTTAGTGAGCAAAGGTACCATAAGATCAGCTAAAGACAATCTCCTTCACTGCTCTGCCTGCAGTTCTTCAAAATAAAACTGAACATGCTCAGCTGACGAAGACACTCCCAGGAAGATAAGCATAAAGCCTACTGCCAGATTTAGCACATCAGATTTTTTATTTTATTTTTATTTTTGAATTTTATTTCTTATTTTGAGAAAAAGTCTTACTTTGTCACCCTTAGTAGAGTGATATAGCATTATAGCTCACAGCAACCTCAAACTTTTGGGCTCAAGAGATCCTCTTGCCTCAGACTCCCAAGTAGCTGGGACTACAGATACCCACCACAACACCCGGCTATATTTTTAGAGACAGGGTCTCACCCTTGCTCAGGCTGGTCTCAAACTTAGCGCAGGTGACCAACCCACCATGACCTCCCAGAGTGCTAGGATTACAGGCCTGAGCCACAGTGGCGACCAACTGGCCTTCACATCAGATTTTTAAAGACTTTGTTTCCGGGCCGGGCACAGTGGCTCACGCCTGTAATCCTAGCACTGTGGGAGGCAGAGGCGGATGGATTGCTTGAGCTCACAAGTTCAAGACCAGACTGAGCAAGACCCAGACCCTGTCTCTACTAAAAATAGAAAAACTGAGGCAAGAGGATTGCTTGAGCACAGGAGTTGGAGGTTGCTGTGAGCTATGATGGTGCCACAGCACTCTACCCAGGGCGATACCTTGAGACTCTGTCCCTCCCCCCTAAAAAAAGACTTTGTTTCTCTTAACTGGTGCTCTCAGAATCTTTGATGAAATGTACTTTCATAAGGGCTTATAGCAATAAGCACCAAATCTGAATAGCAGGAACTTTCATTTTAAAAACTCCATTATGTATCAGGTTATGCAAGGGGCTAAGCATCACTTCAGAAAACAGATAACAATATAATAGATGACTCTGAAGGCCTGAATACGCTGCATGAGGCCTACTTGCTTAAGAGTAAGAACCTTAAGGCCAGGCTCGGTGACTCACACCTAATCCTAGCACTCTGGGAGGCCAGAGCAAGTGGATTGCTTGAGTTCAGGAGTTCCAAACCAGCCTGAGCAAGAGCGAGACTCTGTCTCTATTTAAAAAAAAAAAAAGAAAGAAACTAGCCAGGCATTGTGATGGGGACCTGTAGTCCCAATTACTGAGGAGGCTGAGGCAAGAGGATCACTTGAGCTCAAGAGTTTGAGGTTGCTGTGAGCTAAGATGCCATGACACTCTACCAAGGGTGACGGAGTGAGACTCAGTCTCAAAAAAAAAAAAAAAAAGTGAATCATGTTGTAACAATAACACATAGTCAGGCTGAGTAATCACACATAGTTCCTTCCTTTAAGGGCTCTAAATCTAGTGTGGAGATATCCAATATGGTACTACAACAGAAGTAACAAGGCTGTTTGTGTAAGAGAGTAGAAACAGAAAAGAGGGACACCTAATCCAGTCTTGGGAATTCCTAGAAAGCTTCCTAGAGGAAGCAGAATCTGAGATGAATCCTGAAAAATGATAAAATGTAGTCAGCAAAGAGGAGTGGTCAAGGATAGGAAAATGAAAATATGGGAAAGATGAGCTCTCCCTAAAGGGTTATTATGATACATAGGACTCATGAATAGTGACAAGGTCCTTTCTTTTAAGAGACAGAATCTCCCACTGTCACTTAGGCTGAATGCAGTGGCATGATGATACTCACTGCAACCTTGGACACTTGTGTTCAAGAGATCCTCTGGCCTCAGCCTCCCAAAGTGCTACAATTACAAGCATGAGCCACTGAGCAGGGCCTGTTTTGTGTTACTGAACAGAGTACTTCCACTTCCTGGCTGTCTATCCATCTGTCAAATAATGGTACTAACTTCACAGCATTATGAAGATTTTATAAGACAAGGTGATATTTAGCTAATACACAACTGATAGGACTGTACTGGTGATTAAAATATTGAAATGGTTTAGCACCTATAGTTCAGTGGTTAGGGCACCAGCCACATACACTGGGGGTGGCAGGTTCGATCCCCGCATGGGCCTCCTAAGTAACAATGACAACTACAATAAAAAAATTTCCAGGCGTTATGGTAGGCACCTATAGTCCCAGCTACTTGGGAGGCTAAGGCAAAATAATCACTTAAGCCCAGGAGTTTGGGGTTGTTGTAAGCTCTGACACCATGGCACTCTACTGAGGGTGACAAGGTGAGACTCTGTCTCAAAAAACAAATAAAAAAAATATTGAAATATTTACATATGAGTTGGTATGTATCTACTTCCCTAAGCACCTCCAGTGCCCTCCACCTCTCTCCTGGGACACCTTGAACTTTCTCCATGAGTCAGCATTTAGAGGATGTCTGACATAGCACATTCTGGCACAAAAATACTCCAATTATTTTGATACTTTAAAAGTTTGAATATTATCCAAAAAAGATAAGTAATTAAGTGAAGTGCCTGGCACTTAGTAGACATTCAGTAGATATTCATTAGATTAATTTAAACTATAGATCCTATCTATGGGTATAGATAGAGAAGGGCCCTCTGGTAGGAGAAATAATTTATTCTGTGTGTATTTATTGGGACCTACTATTATTGCATGTCTAGTTGTTTGTATTCAGGTAGAATTCATTGCTTCTCGGTCACTCCCAAGGAACAGTGATACATTGCTAAGACAAAAATGAAATCTTTGGGGACAAATTAGGACCGAGGTGCTAAGAGACAGACCTTTCACTGCAGACAAGCAGCAGGGTTGAACACATAAACATCCGTGCAATATGGTGTCTTTTCTGGATCCTGGTCTCCTTGGTTTGGTTCCACTGTGATGGCCTGCTATGATAGGATGGGCCAAAAGCTGCTTGTAGATCCTGACTTCCTTGGTTTATTTTTCTTCTTGAGTGCTCCAAAGTATCTGGGCTGGGGTTTTCAAGGAGGGAAGGTCATCTAGGCCTGCCTCAATTATATGAGAGAGTTCTCTAAGCTCTCTATGATCCAGTTCAGCTTACTAAAGGTGAGATTCCACAAAAGGGGTTTCAGCCCAATGGCAGCTTTAAAACATGGCTCCAAAATTCTGTGACACTTCTCATATTGAAAAGTAGGGCTATGCTGGGTGTGGTGGCTCATGCCTGTAATCCTCGGCCTAGAAGGCTGAGGTGAGTGGATTGCCTGAGCTCAGGAGTTGGGAGTTGGAGACTAGCCTGAGTAAGAGCGAGACCCTGTCTCTAAAAAAAAAAAAAAGAAACAAACAAACAAACAAAAAAGCTGGGCATTGTGGCAGGTGCCTGTAGTCCCAGATACTTGGGCTCCTGAGGCACAAAGATCACCTGAGCCCAGGAATTTGAGGTAGGTGTGAGTTATGATGCTATAGCACTCTACCAAGGGTGACATAGTGAGACCCTGTCTCAAAAAAAAAAAATTAGGATTTATAGACCAGTGGTTCTCAACCTTCCTAATGCTACAGCCTTTTAATACAATTCCTGTGGGTTGCGACCCACAGGTTAAGAACTGCTGTTACAGAGGGTATGGCACATCTCTTGGGGATGGGACACAATTATAAGAGAGATTTTACCTAGCAAAAGCAAACATTGTAACCTAATTCTTTATACCCTCTATTAATCTGAAACAAACAAAAGTTACCACTCAGATTCCTTTGTAAAAGCTAGTTATGTGGTAGCATATTTAATAGCAAAAAAATCAAAACCATTTACTGGTGGTGAGTTTATTAAGCAATATATAGAAAGCATGGCAGATATAATATGCCCTGAAAAAAAGGTGAATATTTTTAAAACCAATTTGTCATACCAAGCGAATTGAAGAAATTGGAAAAATCTGGCTCGGTGCCTGTGGCTCAAGTGGCTAAGGCGCCAGCCACATACACCTGATGGCGGGTTCAAATCTAGCCTGGGCCCGCCAAAACAACGATGGCTGCAACCAAAAAATAGCC